TCTGTCCTTCATAAACTATTTGTACATGCACTAGGAGATGCCGCGCTATAGCAAAGAAAATTAGATGGATGCTTCTATTTACTTATTGCATACTAAGTACTTCCATTTGACTATACCTTGGAGTCGTTTGGTAGTTGGTTAGAAGGTATTAGTTATACATGGATTAGTTATGAAGAAATCTATGTATTATTCTATGCATGTATTAGTTATGGAGGGTTTACTTATTCATGTATTACTTATTCCATCTTCTATCCTGCAAAAAATAATACATAGATTCCCTCTATCCTTTCATTATGCATTGCCAGCATCATTTGAGGAGAAGAATTCTGGTTTTGCTTTTCTTTCTGTTAGTTGTTCAGTATCCAGAGGCACTATTTAGGCGATTATTTACTAATCTAGTGGTTTATTAGTATTTCCTGATTTCAAAATTAAAAAAACTCAAGACGCTTCACTCTCTCGAGTTGAAATGTTTGCCTTGAAAATCAAGAGAGTTATTGAAAATATTGTGAAGAATAATCTTAATAAATATGTCAGTGAAAATGATATTAAGAAAATTGTGCAGAATATTCTTATGATTATGGCATAATTAAAAATCCCTAGGATTAAGAAACTTACCTCAACTCAAAACTCCTACTGAAGGAGCTCTCTTGTATATTGTTCAAAGAAAAAGAAAATTCAGTTAGAGTTTTTGTCTTCTTCTCTTTTCACAAAAATATTCAAGAAAGGCCTGATAAGACTGAAAGTTTTCTTTAATAAAACATAATATCTTAGATATCTGAGGCTACGTCATTTACAGGTTGGTGAAAGAGGGGTTCAGTTATCTGGGGGGCAGAAGCAAAGAATTGCAATTTCTCGTGCTATAGTGAAGAATCCATCAATTCTTCTATTAGATGAAGCTACAAGTGCACTTGATGCTGAGTCAGAAAAAAGTGTACAAGATGCTCTTGATCGTGTGATGGTGGGAAGAACAACTGTAATTGTTGCTCATCGCCTTTCTACCATTAGGAATGCTGATATCATAGCGGTTGTTAACAATGGCAAGATAGCAGAAACTGGAACTCATGAGGAGCTTATTTCAAAACCAAATAGTGCCTATGCATCACTTGTTCAACTTCAACAAGCAGCTTCTTCACATCTCCATCCTTCTCAAGAGCCAACCATGGGACGACCTCATAGGTACAATATTTACCTGCTGATACGTTGTATTCCTAACTATATCAGAGTGTGATGTATATCCTCTTTATTGTTGCGTTGGAGTCAGCTCCATACTGTCATGCATTTGACAGCTAGTTCTAGTGATACTTTGATAATTTCTGCAATTGAGGGTTCAAAGTTCAAAAAAATAATAAAAGGTGTCATTTCCTGCTTATAAGCAATCAGACTGATTTTTCTATCAGTATATGCATAATTTGCTTAATCTTTTTTCTACAGCATAAGGTATTCCCGTGAATTATCCCGAACAACAACGCGAAGCCGTGGAGCTAGCTTTCGTTCTGAAAAATCTGTTAGCGGTATTGGTGCTGGTGGTGTAGAGGATGTTAAGTCACCAAATATTTCCGCAGGGAGATTGTATTCTATGATTCGTCCTGAATGGCATTATGGAGTTATTGGAACTATCTGTGCATTTATTGCTGGAGCTCAGATGCCTCTCTTTGCCTTAGGGGTGTCACAGGCCCTTGTGTCTTACTACATGGATTGGGATACAACACGCCACGAAGTAAAGAAGATTTGTTTCCTGTTTTGTGTTGGTGCAGTACTAACCGTCATCGTTCACGCCATTGCACATACTTGCTTTGGAATCATAGGAGAGCGGCTTACTCTTCGTGTGAGAGAAATGATGTTCTCTGGTAATCATACAATAACCAATGTTTTTGCTTTACGAGAGGTTGCTTATCGTGTAAATATGTAGAACTTTAATTGCATAATTACTGTTGCATTGCAGAACTTTGGTTCACTGCGTTTATACTATTCATCATATGTAATTTTAGAAGATGACTGTTGTACTCTTTTCTGAAAATTTTCACTCATCTCTGTTTTCTTAGTATCAGTCCTTTAACAGACAAATAGCTTAACTTGTAATCTATAAATGATTTCTAGATGTAAGAAAGCTATGATTCATATTTATCTGAAATCATTAATCCAGAAATATTTTTTGTCTGGATTAATGATTCAGATAAATATGAATCATACCTTTCCTACATTTGTTGATATGTTGCATTGATATCTGTTTTCTTAGTACGAGTCCTTTTTGTCCGACTTATTCAAATAAAAAGTTCCCTAACATTCTTCTTTATGTGGGTGCAGCTATGCTAAGCAATGAGATAGGATGGTTTGATGAGATGAACAACTCAAGTTCTACACTTGCATCACAATTGGAAAGTGATGCTACTCTATTGCGAACTGTAGTGGTTGATCGCTCTACTATTCTCCTACAGAATGTGGGTTTGGTGGCCACTTCCTTCATCATTGCATTCATCTTGAATTGGAGGCTCACCCTTGTTGTCATGGCTATGTACCCACTTATCGTTAGTGGTCACATCAGCGAGGTTCAATCTTATCCCTTAATCAGCATCTGTCATATATCTTCCATATCATTATTTTAATAGGTATTGTTTTCTTTCAGAAACTCTTTATGTCAGGCTTTGGTGGTGACTTGAGCAAAGCCTATCTTAGAGCAAACATGTTTGCTGGTGAGGCTGTAAGTAACATCAGAACTGTTGCAGCATTCTGTGCTGAGGAGAAGGTAACTGATCTCTATGCTCGTGAACTTGTTGAACCTGCAAAGCGTTCATTTAGCAGGGGACAGACTGCCGGGATCCTTTATGGAGTCTCTCAGTTTTTCATCTTCTCCTCTTATGCCCTTGCCTTATGGTATGTTGCTCAAGTTTTAAGTTATCTAAATTGTTCATCTTGTTGATTTGTTGTTGGGAATTTCTTTGAGTGACAGAGGCAGCTTGCATTTCAATGAGGTGCTTTGGCATACTTGTACTTTACATACTCCGACATGGTGACGATTTTGAGACTAGATAAACTTACCACCTTTCACATATTTACAAATTATCCACAGGAGAAAAAAGTTACTACAAAAGTTTAGCAAAGTAGATAGCCAATCACATACATTATGACAGTTGTTTATTTTACTTGGATTACAGTCTTGTACCAATTAGGTTTTCACTTGAGCTCGCAATAGTTTAACATGTATTTTTCCTAAACCTTGTATAGGTATGGTTCTGTTTTGATGGGGAAGGAGCTAACCAGCTTCAAAGCTGTTATGAAATCGTTTATGGTTTTGATTGTAACTGCTTTGGCTATGGGAGAGACCCTTGCTATGGCACCAGACCTTATAAAAGGAAACCAGATGGTAGCATCAGTATTTGAAGTGCTTGATCGGAAGACAGAAATTGTAACCGACAGTGGGGAGGAGGTAACTGCGGTTGAGGGAACAATTGAGTTTAAGGATGTTGAGTTCTGCTATCCTGCAAGACCCGATGTTCACATTTTCAGAGACTTCAATATGAGACTGCATGCGGGAAAGAGTATGGCGATAGTAGGGCAGAGTGGTTCTGGTAAAAGCTCAGTATTGGCTCTCATTTTACGGTTCTATGATCCAATATCTGGGAAAGTGATCATTGATGGTAAGTTTAATTTGTACCTATACTATTCCGAACTAGAATCATTCCAACGTTCATCATGGATTAATTTAATCATATCGATGATGTGAATTTACACAGGCAAGGACATCAGGAAGCTAAAGCTCAATTCTCTAAGAAAGCACATTGGCCTGGTCCAACAAGAACCAGCACTCTTTGCCACAACAATCTATGAAAACATCATTTATGGAAAAGAGGGAGCATCTGAAGCAGAAGTGATTCAAGCAGCTAAGCTTGCTAATGCACATAGTTTCATTAGTGCTCTTCCTGATGGCTACTCGACCCAAGTTGGGGAACGAGGAGTTCAATTGTCCGGTGGACAGAAGCAAAGGGTAGCCATTGCCCGAGCTGTTCTCAAGAACCCTGAAATCTTGCTATTAGATGAAGCTACAAGTGCTCTGGACGTGGAATCTGAGCGTATAGTTCAACAGGCGTTGGACAGGTTGATGCGAAACAGGACTACTGTCATCGTGGCACATCGACTATCCACCATAAAAGATGCAGATCAGATATCTGTTTTACAAGATGGGAAAATCGTCGATCAAGGGACTCACTCTGCATTGATAGAGAACAGAGATGGAGCATACTATAAGCTAATTAACTTACAGCAACAGCAGCAACAGTAATAGCACACCAACATACTTGGAGATATTTTTCTCATACAAACACTTAAAATGTGTAAAATTCTTTTCCCCTATACTTAATATAATTGCAATAATATACTTTGTATTTAGAGTTGTATAGGCTATTTTTAACTGTTCTTTCTTCCCCTGGAATATTTTTTCCATTGTTGAAGGCTTCACTAGTAGGATGGGGTTGAAAAGGAGTTCGGAACCTAAATAAGCCACAAAAAGACAAAAGTGATCAAAATAAGCCACTATTCTAGTAAGTAACTAAAATAGGCTTAGTGGAAGAAAAAAATTCGTTTTATAAAATATTCCAAACGTTTTCCGTTAGTCTCATAACGGGTATATTTTAATATATAACAGAATTATTTCTTACATTTTATAAAGTGTAAGTTTTTCTTACACTTTATAAAGTGGAAAAAATTATGTTTTACAAAGAGGAATATTTTTCACGTATTGCATTAAATTGTATCTCTTTATGAAGCTTTTGCAGTGTTTGTCATACAATTATATTGATTTGACATATCATAAAAACAGAAAAAATTATTACATTATGTATTTTTATTTTTTTTATTTTGAAACTCCTCCAAGCTCTATTTAAGGAAAGAATTATTACATTATGTATCATAAGTGTTAACTTGATTTGATCTATGTAGTCATTTGGAACCCTCAAAAAGTCGGTCAATGATTAGTCACTATAAATAATCCACTCTCCAAAATTTACTTGTCCTTGTGACAAAAATGAAGTAGGGTATTTTCCGACTATAATCAAATTATAATCAGTACTATTTATACCCATTCTTTTATAAATTGATGAAAGAAATTTATGATATCGGATATTAATTAAATATTTAGCATTGTGTTTGAAAAGACAATTATAATAAACGATATTTTCGTCATGTATAATTTCACCATCCCAATAAATCGAAACTCTAACTTTTGGTTTAGAAGACATTTATTTTGTGATTCAAATGAAGAAAAATAGAAGACTAAAGATGTTGAAGGTACTATGTTTGAACGTCCTTAAATAGAGCTTGGAGGAGTTTTCAGAATAAAAAAATAAAAATACATAATGTAATAGTTTTTTCCGTTTTGATGATATGTCAAATTAATATAATTGTAGGCGAAATAGTCTGGTGGACCCTTGTACTTGTATGAGTTTGTATTGTAAATTTTTCTACTTAACCATTTATCAACTAGATCCTTAAACTCAATAAAATACAATATATCAAACCCCTCTGACCATTGACCAGGCTTATGTGACATTAAGATGGTTGAGTTGGCAAGAGAGTGTGACTACACGCATGTGCAGGCGAGTGAACTTCATATTTAAATTTAAAAAATATTTAAAAATACAATATTAAGTTTAAAAAAACAAAAAAATAATATATTGAATTAAAAAATAAAAAAATTTAAAAAGAAAAAATAAATTTTAAAAAGTCTTCTTCTTCCTTCAACTCAACCTAATTTCACTGCATCCCCATTCCTGCCCCCAACGCCTTTTTCTTTCTTCTCCACACTTATTATCACCTTTAGCAGGACATTGGCACCTCCTTGTCGTCAGATTTCAAGTTGTTATCACTGGAGGGAGAAAGTGACGTTGATTTATCGTGGTGCTCGTCGGAGTCTACTGATTCAAAGTGGAGTAAGAGAGAGGCGGCGTTAATCCTTTTTCATCAGAACGGGAGACGGCGAGGGGGTATATTGGTACGACGAAGAGGATGGAGAAGAGAGGCGGTCCCTGGTGGGTCGCCGGTGGTGTGTCGGCTTAGGGTTACTGATTTTGTACAGGTCTCGCCGGCAAGAAGAGTGGTGGCGGCAACGACTTTCACTGGTGGATTTTAGATGTTACGCTGTGGAGTCCCAAATTTTGCTTAATAAATTTAAAATTTATTATTTTATATTTTATTTAATAAAACTTTGTTTAATAATTTTTAAAAATAAATAATGAAGATAATTATGACATGTTATTAATTAATGTGACATGGATTTGACATGTCATCTATTAAAAGGCGAGTGAACTACACACATGATAAGAGGGGTTTAAAAATATTCGTTTGATTGAGTTTAAGGGCTTAGTTGATAAATGGTTAAGTAGAAGGGTTCACAATACAAACTCATACAAGTATAAGGGTCCACCAGATCATTTTGCCTATAATTGTATGACAAACACTGCAAAATCTTTATAAAGAGAACATGAAAAATATTCCTTTTTGTAAAACAAAAAATTTTCTTCCACTTTATAAAGTGTAAGAAAAACTTACACTTTACAAAGTGTAAGACATAGATCTGTTTTACAAGGTGTAAAAAATATTTTTGTTATATATTAAAATATACACGTTATGAGACTAACAGAAAACGTTTGGAATATTGCATAAAACGGAATTTTTTATTCCACTAAGCATATTTTAGTTACTTACTAAAATAGTGGCTTATTTGGGTCACTTTTATCTTTTTGTGGCTTATTTAGGCTCCGAACTCGTTGAAAAGCTTTCAAGGCTCGTAAATGTAAAATTAGTTGAACACTTCGCATTTGACTCCCCAAAAATAAAAGGCCAAGTTACACATTGGGCAGGTCAGCTAAAAATATTACTTTCTTCATTTCAATTTGTTTGTCTCATTTTGATTTGATACAGAGTTTAAGAAAGTAAATGAAACTTTTAAATCTTGTGATTTTAAATTAAAGATATGTGGAAGATACCAAAATGTCTTTTAATCTTGTGGTCTTAAACAAAGGCGGATCCAGGATTTGGAGGCTAAGGTGTCATATCGTCTAAATAGGTAAATGGGACGATTCCTTCAATTTTAGGTTATAATTTCGATTATTTAGTTTTTTCGATTTCTATAAATAAATTGATTGAATATGCATCTTTAGTAATGTTTTTTTCTTTAAAATATTCTAATATTAATATACCTAAATAATTTATTTTATTGATATACTATTTTTTAGAAATAAGAAACCTTATTCTCTATAACTTTGAGAAAACAAGAGATTTTTCACCTTTAAATTTGAATTTGTTACATCGTCTAATACCATACAGTTGAAAATGAAAATAAAATTATAGCTTCAGTCCCGTTATCTCCATTCTCCACTTAGTGTGATGTTAAAGATTGAAAGAACCTTTCAATTCAAAAGCTTTAACATAATAATATCCATTTTTTTTAAAAATAAAATAAAATAAAATACTATTTAAACATATTTTTATTAATATTATATGACGTTCAAAATTTAATATTAATTTGTAATTTAAATATATAATATCACACAACACTCGTATCAATTAAAAATAGATAAATAAGTAAGAAGTAGCAAATAAAGGAACTAATTGAGGAGGCCGAAAAACTGAAGCAAAGACAAAAAAAGAAAGAGGGAAAAAAAGGAAGAGCTGAAAGCCATTCACACAAGCTAAGGATAAAAAAAAGAGCAACTTTCACATATAGCAAACACAAAATTCATATTTGTATGTTATAACAAAGTTTGCATAATTGCGCTCCATATCAAACATGTTATGACTAGGCCATTTTGCTATACATATATACAAAAGAAGCAATTGTATAATTCGCTGGCTCTTCTTCAGATTTGTATAATTTAGTTGTAGATCATTTGTATAAATTGTTGTCAGCCTCTCATTTGTACAAATCGTTGAGAGTCTCTCAATTAATTTTATGTGTTTGTATATCTGTATAAAATTTGAATTTGTATACAATTGAATCGAAATAAAACGTTTGTATATCAAATATCCTTCTCTCTCTCACTTTATACAAACATAAATTATACATTGTATTTTGTATAATCTGTGTTTGTATAAAGCGAAAAAGAGAGAAAGGCAAAAGAGAACTGGACAGGAGAATATTTGTATTGTATAACTATAAGTGTATAGGGAGAAAATATATGTATTTGCATGTGTATATACAATTTTCTCTCGCTTTATACAAACAGAAACACAATTTATACATTTCTGTTTGTAAAAAGCGAGAGAGGCGAGCGACAGAGGGAGAGTGGCGAGCGAGAGTTTGAGGGAGAGAGGCGACTGGCAAACAGCCTGCTACAGGGCACAATTAAATCAAAGTGTGGTTATACCATTTAATTTAAATTAATAGTTTGCCATTATGTACAATTTTCCCTAAAAAAAATGATGCTCTCATGGGATTCAAACCCTCGATGCTCACGTATAGAGTTAGACCCTTTGCCAGTTGCACCATTCAACATATTGTTCATTCGGTAACAAGTATAATATATATTTGATATGTCATACTTATACACATATATACAAAGTTTTAATCGAGGCTATTGGGTGCCATAACACCCTCACTCATACACCTAGATCCGTCCCAGGTCTTAAACATGTTACGTGAAAAATTGAAATTAAATAGTTGTCAAAAAAAGGAAAGAGACATTCTTTTTTTAAATAGATTAAGAGTTTGTTTGAATTGACTTATCTTAGGTGATTTTAAGCAATTTTGTAGTGTTTGGGTAAGATAAAAAAATAATACTTTTAAACACTTATTTTAAGTTAAAATAACAAAATAAGCCAAAAGTCATAAGTTATGATTCCTAACTTATAACTTATGGCTTATAACACATAAGTTATAAGCCCATCCAAACAGACTCCAAAAAGAAAAAGTAAGACAAATAAATCAAAACAACGGGAATAATTAATTCACTTTTGCTAATACACTCTACCAAACGATTCCTTAAGGGGTTCTTTATTAGGATGCTTTTGAAAAAATAATGCATGCACTAACTTTAATTGTGCAATACTAATACTTTATTTAGTACACTTTTTCAACCTATATATAACTATTGCTTGCATGTACACTCTATTTAATATCATGGTATATCTAACTAATACTTGACAAATCACAATATTATCCCTCAATATCCTTTCCACGATATTTGTGGATGATATTTTTGTAAAATGATTGTTTAAAGAAATTATACAATACATATTGTTTTTAATACACTAAATTGCATAAAAAAAAATTTATACACTCTATCAAGACATCCTAGTAGTGTTATATTACAATATCCAACCCTCACTCACCCACCCAAAGAAGAAAAAATGGAGAGGAAAAAAGTTTTGACCCAAAGAATTAAGAGAGTGAATAGAATATGAATAAATAGCTGAAAATAAAGAGATAGATCCATTATTAGGTATCTATATTGGAGTTTAAGTAATTTGTATTTGTGCTATGT